AATTTTACGCCCAGCTAGCTACTTGAGATATATTCAGAAAATCAGCTAAGCAGAATTGCTCAGCAATATGTGCATTTTTCTGAATCTAGAGGTTCTGAGGAATCGAACAGTTTAGAGAAATGCCTATCTTACTGGGCAAACCTGAGAGTATCGTTAGCTTGAATATGGTAATCCCTATAGTGCTATAGTAATGTATAGATTGATCTATAGTGATACAATGTATATAAATCAGCGCCACTACGCTAGTTGAGCTAGAGCGAAGAAAATAACTACTTCTCCTCATTTAATTGGAATTGTTCAGCAAAATATATGTTTTCTGAATCTAGAGGTTCTGCGAAATTGAACGATGTAGAGAAATTGCTATGTTACTGAGCAAACCTGAGAGCACCGTTAGCTTGAAGAAGGTGACCTTAGATTGATTGATCAGTAGTGATACAATGTATTGAAATGAGCATCGCACCGCCACCTGAGATGCGTTCAGAATATCTCTTCATGTGAGCAAATTCTTCCAACGATATATATACTTTTCTGAATATACATATTTTCTAAGTATATTTAAGAATTTCAACTTGTTACTTGCTTCCTTGTTACTTGTTTTGCTTGTTACTTGCACATCGAGCGGCTGTTTTGTTGATCGCTGTGAGCGATCGAAGGAAAATTTATTTTGTAGAGTTATGAATATTCATTGGATTAGTATTTGGCTACGTTTAATTATGCAAAGTATTCACGGCAACTAATTAAATACTCGGTTGTGTTCACTTGGCCTCCTCGCCTAGCCAGCCGGGTGGCATCAATCAAGGCTAAAACAGTGCGAACGGAAACGCGAGCATTGTGGCCAGCAACGTTACAAACGTTTGATAGCCTGCTTGCCAATCCAGGTAATGTTCAAGAATACTTTCAAATCCGAATCGACAACAGCTGGGGGCTGAGTCGTTGATGATTAAGAAACGAGTGAATTGTATGGCCGCACCAACTTTTCTGGCCAAGACATGACTCATTGTTTGTTTGCGATGAATTAATGTACTGAAGCTCAGCAATTGCAAGGCTGTGTCGACAGTAATAATAACATTATTGTTGATGGGTCGATTTTGATCGTATTTTGATCAAACAGGCGAATCAGTCCGCAGAAGATAAATAGGCAGAATAAAGGATAGAATGATTTGGTTGTCCTGAATGATAATATGAAAACAAATTGCTTATTAATGAGATAGTTTTCATATTCTATTCGTATTGTATTACTGTGTTCTTGAAACTGCTATTTTGGTGATTTATGACATGTATCATTTGACTAATCGATTATTATTATTTAAGTAAGAGTGATATATAGTACGAATCATTCGATTATCAACTAATTTGATCCATTAACTGACTGAATTATTGTTATTATCATTACGCTTCCGTCGAATGTGTTGCCTCATCAATTGATCATTAATGTTATGTGCGGTTTAGTCACCTAACTCTGAGGGTAATTAAGGATAGCTCACAACAGTCGTTACAAATACTGAACACCTTACGTAACCTCAATGCCTCAAATGTGAACCCTCGTTTCTATCTATCAGATGCATAAACGAAATTCATCAAACGTGCACGAAAGATGTTTCTAATAACAGAAGAAGCATGAATGTGCGGATAATCACAATAATGGATTGAAGTGGAATGAAGTGTCGTTTTAATCTCATAAAAACAACGATCGAATAACATTCAACAAATACGAAATTAATCAGCCATTCATAATCAGTTTCAAAAACAACGTAGTCGAGTACATATCAACATTATTTATGAATAAACTCTTCAAAACCAACATTAACAACAACAATAACATGAATAAATTCTTTGAAAAGAAGGAAAAGTAATTCAAAGAAATTTTCATACATAAAAATTTCAGGCAATAATGTCTAAGAAATGTCGCATAAAAGTTTGTTCATAAAAACAGTTAGCAAATGGAAAGCTAGATGAAAAAAATAACAAGGAAAATTCAACGACTGGAAATTTTACGAAAAAAGAATGGTGTGTAATTTGAGATATATAAACTGAAAAGATGCAAAATTTCTGAGGTTCCAACATTATACGAAGATACTCGAAATTAATATGCAAACTATATCAAAAATATTCAAATTATAGTGATTTTTCATATGCAATTGATAAAACAATGAGTTTGTAAATGATGACGAGTGAGCACTATAAGAGAATCACTGCAAGCAGTACGAGCACTCACAAGCAATTAATAGAACAACTACATTTGTATATCCTCGAAGCTATAATCCGCTTGCTTCTTACCCGAAACATCATCCTTTATTTCAGCCATATTCATTGAATCGGCAAGTGCATCCGCTTTTCGTGCTGAAATTGAACGTGATTTAACGACTCTTGCGATGAATATTCAATATTTTATTTATTTCAAAAAAAAAACTCCATTCCTTAAATCGCAATGGTATTTTTCATTCAATACGAGACAAATAAAATGATGATGAAATTCTATACAAATTATCCGATATGGCTATCGAGAAGCAGTAATAAGCATTAATAATAATAATAATGAGAATGACAATAAGATAACGCTGATCCACAGATAAAGTTCACATTCACTGCCTTTAGCTATTATGATGAATTTGTGATCATGACAAAATCTAGTTGTTTTGTGAATTATAACATAAACGAAGAATCTCACCGATTTTTTTACTTTTCTTTTTGTGCTGCTTCAATGCCTTTTTGATGCACCGATTCAACTGAACATTGCCAGTGATACTCAACGATTCAGGAAGCACATTTTCGATTGGTGATTCTTCCACTTTACTTTTCTGTAATAAATTAGCTTTCAGTTTAACGTTAATGCAGCAATCTGACTGTACACTTGTGACATTCAATACACATTTAAGTAAAAGCAGAAAGAAATTGCCTTCGAGTTAGGCACAACAACGACTCGTTGTTCAGTTGTTGCATCAGTGTCATCTGTTTCCATATGCGCTTCTTCAGTCTCATCCATCTCTTTCTTATACAAACAACCCATATCCATTGCACTACTCGATGGTAGACCTTCAACGATGCATATGATCACTGCATATTATTTCAATGATTTCGTCATTTGGTGAAATGAAGAACAAAAATTACTGCTCTTTTGACTGCATCAGCAAGATAGGTGCGTTTATGAAAATACACGGCGAAAAAGAGAAAATATCTCGAGAACACACAATCATGTCAATGATTTACCTATATGAATAAACACATTTTTAAAGAGGAACTGAAAACAGAACGAAAATTTGCAGACCTTCAACAATGATTTTTTGTTCATTATCAAGTGCATCCAGATCAAATTCTTTCGAGAATTCATTCAGCAATTCAGAAGAGCAAAATGTTCGATTTGATTCATCACTTTCCACTTGCACTGGTGGTTCAGTGTAATAACGAAGTTTACCACTGTTCCAATCATTCAGCACCTCAATCGGCGTACGACGTTATTTTAAATATTTAGCCATTATAAAAGAACAAGTATTTTTCCACAGAATCCAGTCGTTTTGAATCTTTTAAAAAGACGGTAATCAATGATAAAAGCAACTAGGAAACAAAACCACAACTTACATGTTTGGCTGCAGCGCTCAGATCAGGTCTAGCGCCTTTCTTCAGACGTCCCAATTTTCGTGCCATTAAGGCTAGAAACTGCTCGCATGAGTCAAATTCAGCTATCATGTACTGCATCATTAACTGCAAGCAAAAACAAGTGAACAAATCTGTTAACCGCGTATATGCTTGAATAAAGAAAGCAAAGTGAAGGACAATGACAGCGACAATAAATAGAGATGAACCGTTTCACGACTGCATCGCTTCAAGATGGCTTGTACAGGTGGGATCGGATCTGTGATAGATTCAATACGAATTGCATTTTTGAGCGCAAGTTCGACAGCATCCAAATCATTCTGTTTGCTCAGCACAACACCTGGTGAATCTAATAATCGAATGTGTTGATCTAATTCAATCTGCTGAACTTGCCTAAACTTCATGAATCATTTTCTTCTTTATTATATTGCCTTCATGAATGAACAGCTAAAAACATGCAATCAAAACAAGCTAAACGAATCAGTGAAACATAAATGAACAAATAACGCAAAAAAATACTAGAAAAATTAATAACCAAGTAAACAAAGAACACGAAAAACATACTTCGTTATTCCTGGTAGAGCACCAACATTGCAAGCACGTCTACGTTTCAAACTATTTATCACACTACTTTTACCAACATTTGGATAGCCTGAATTAATGTCATAAAATAAACAAATTTGTACACTCGTAAAAGATCACATCACAAAATGAGACAAACCTGAATGTAATGAATGAATAAAAATGGAAGATAACACTAAATTTTACCAACCAATAATGCCAACAGTGATTGATGTTTTTATATCTTTATTACGGCAATAATTTCCGAAGAGTTTCATCAAAATGTCAGCACCAATACATTTAGATCCACTCTCTGAATGAGCCATACCCATTTGACGACCCTAAATTGTGTGATGTAAAATAAATGCCTGTTGCAACTTCTGGCTTATTTCTTCATCTTCGTTAATTAATCGAATCGACTACTCAAAATGAAAAACGTATAGTATGACTAACAAGTCGTTGAGATTGTTGTTGCGTTGATGCTCTGAATGCAATTGTTGGAAGTTGATTTCGCAGATAGGTTAACCAATTTTTAACATTCTCTTTAGGCACCAAATCGATCTTATTCAACAAAAGTACCAGTCTCTTGCCTGAGCTCATTACCAACTGTTCCATGTCAGCGCAACGACCACCTAATGGATCCCTTGCGTCCAACACCTTAAATGTCGTAAATCAACTACCTTTCCATTCTGTTAAAATCCCCATTCCAACAGCAACATAATTCAGATAAACCTCAATTAGTGTAAAGCATGATTTGAAAGTTATTTTACTTACTTTCTGAAAGATTATACTTGCTAAAACAAAAAATCAAAAAATAGAAAAATGTGAACCCACCTCAACAACGATATCCGCTGATTCAATCGTTTTTCTAACTTCTTTTGCGTATGCTCTGATCGTCTTATCATTAAGTACAAACGCCTTTTCGCTCTTATCCTCCGAAGCACTTCCCTTAATAATTGTATTTTAGAGAATAAAATTATCATTGCCATTAACACTGTAAGAGAATCATGTACATGAAGAATACCGTTTGAGTGGCACCAGATGGTAAGCTATTAGCTGAATTGATTAGAGACTGATTATCGCTCAGTTTACGCTTCATGCCAACTTCCATCTTAATCGTTTTTTTCTGTTGACATTTTCTTAATTCAGCATCCTCGCGAGCCTTTTCTGCTTCGAATAACAGTTCTTCTTTGAATGGACATTTGTTTGGAACGTTTATGATCTTTTCGTGACCTTTCCGCTTTTGTCCTGCTATAATTCGTTTCAAATTCACATAATTTGCTGATTCAATCGCTCGCTTGTTCATTATACTGATTACATTCGCAATCGATCCATTTGTGGCCTGCCTCATAACCAGTGAAACAACCGATAATTAGTACAATAAAAGTGGAGAGAACTACACAGCAATAAATCAATTTTGCTAACAGAATGGTTTAGAAAAATGAGAAGAGAATTCACGAAAATTGAAAGTGAACTGAAATGCAGTGAATTAAACGTTCATAAACCAATAAAACGCACGCCTTCAATAAGTTACAAGTAGAGAACCACAATTAGATAATAAGGCTTGAATTTCTTTTTAAATTGGTATAAAACAACTTCATACAACCTACCACTTTTCTTGGCCAATTTTTTCAATTTTCGATTATGTTCTCGAACTTTTTTCTCAATTTTGTACCGCTTCGCAGATGCTAGTCGTTTACTTGGCTTTTCTGAATGATTGATTAAATGTAACAAATCAATGGAAACACAACTGTAGAACATGCTGCTTTCAAATTGATCGCATATTCTGAATCCGAACTTGCGATCATAATTTTTCTCTATCGCTCATCAGTTTTCAGAGAAAATTAGTTGAAGACGCAAGGTACCATCGTGTAATCAGATTGAACACTCTCCGCCTAATGCACTGCTTAAAAGTGAAATGAGTGACGAAGAGGGAGAATGGCACGTGAAAGATAGTACAGTAAAAATAATGAGGAGTGTTAGATGAAAAACAGACTGACAAGAAATGAAAGTCACTTTTGGATTTGAAGCATAGAAAAAAAACTGCCCAAGGAAGTGTTGAACACTTCAGGAAAATATAACTCACATGGGAACATGTAAAAGTTTGGAATAGACGAGAGTTGATTTCAAGTAAGCAATTAACTTACTTAAACAATATTTGGCCATTTCCAAAAAGTAATCCTTTGGTGCTTTTGTTACAGTACCCTGAAAAAATAATTTACGTGAGAAAATATGTAGACGCACACCCACTGAAAGTGAGATCACTCCTACAGGAGGTATTTCTCGTTAAGTAGCCAAAAGACGAACCCACCCCCCCCCTCCCTCCTGCATGACTGAGTGGGCATCTGCGTTGCGCAATAAACATTAGCACACGTAAGGTACTGCGTTTGAAAAGAAGTCAAATNAAATATGCCCAATGCAATAACACAGATGCATACAAAAATTGATCCATACGTGAAAATAAAATTCGATTTTTAACGAACACAATCAACTCGACGATGAATGAAAAGAACGAAAACAAATATTACTATTGAAGAAAATTTATTATGAACAGCATTTCAATGCATCATCACAAGAAAAATTAATTATCATGATAATAATAATCAAAGTGAGAACATCACACGGACCAGAAACCGATCACTTGATCATTTAAAAAGTAGCCAAATTATAACGCGCAATGTTTTAAAATTTGAAAATGAAATAAAACATCATTTTGTAGTGATATTAGGAACAGAATTTGGAAATTGAACCAATAAAATCAAAATATGCAAACAGAAACAAAATTAGAGTAACCATAAAACAGTAGAATACTATATAATGGAATATAAAATCAAATATCAGCGTATTGAATGCAGATCAATAATAGTTTATAAGATTACCGACAGTTAAATCAAGATCGATAATAATAAACGCATAATGAACGCAAAGTGAATGAATATTATCATGAATCAACAACGGAACTGAATATATGCGAATAGGTATGTGGTATACGACGAATGGGTGTTGAGTGCAAGGGTATTTATTGATAATGAGGCTGAAGGGAGACGGACATCATCAACCCTCTGATCAAAAACACTGGAGCACGCACGAAACGTAGCATCGTTTTTTTTAAAGTGATGCAGCATTCTGAAACGAGCTTGCATATCTATCTATACTTAACAAAAACGCAACGTGGAAATTCTGACGAGAAGATGAATTGAACATGTTCAGTAATCCAAAATGATAATACAAAAATGAACTTAAAATCTGTAATGAAAAAGATAAGAGCACAGCATGAATATATATGAAAATGAGCCAAAAAAACGTACAAATAATGACCATCTCCAACTACTCATTCCATAATAGCATAGCAAAGCACAACATAGCTCCCTGTCACACACATACGCACAGTTCATTTCAATAAAGGATGAACGAAAATCGAAACAAGAACATACGAATGTCGTCGAACCGACAAAACCAAAAAATCGACTCGGAAAAAGAATGAAATCGATTATTAATTTATTTACTTCAAATATTACACTTCAAACAATTATACATCACTTCTTTTTATACCAATGAAAAGCAACATTAAAAACTGAAGAAAGAAATATTTTACAATTGCTTTCCTCCAATCAGTCCCACTGATTTCAGATTATTTATTCCCAAACAGTTGCGTTGATTTTCTTCAAAAAACAAAAAAACAAAGCTAACATCAAAAGTTAAAGTCGAAATTTGTGACGCACTGCAGAAAATATTCTAACAAAGAAAAAACTTCCCAAGAGAAGTGAAATAAACAATAAAATAAACCTCACTAACTATTCAAAATCAAACTGATTATCAATCTTCAGCCAGATGAGATTGATGAATAATTAAAACCGGCTGGGTGATTCTTGCACCATCATAACAGCGCGACAATGGTAAATAGTCGATCAATTTTGAATAGTTCTACTGGATTTAATTTTAGATGCTTGATCTTACTTGATTCAATGACAATTACTTTGATTCATTTACAGATAGTTTCCTTTTCTTAGATGACCAATGGTGAATGATATCGTTCATCCATTATGAAACTATCAGAAAAAGATTACATCAAACCGATCGATTCGTAAACTTTGAACGATGACAATAGTAATGCGTGACAGTAGCAATTCAAAAATGAACTTTTAAAAATTGGTAAAGAAAAAACAGTTTTGCCGATGGCGAGTACGTCATAAAAAATTTGCTTCCTGCACAAATTTCAAATAACAATGGGAAAAACAACAGAAACTGGACCTCATGAATGGGAAAACACAAAGAAGAAAAAACACGATTTGTTATTTTGGGTTGCGGTTGGAGAATGAAACAGGCATTGAGTACAAATCTTCAAAGAATCGCAACTGAAACGAAAGAATGTCTAGAGGAACGTCGAGTGGACGAATGATGAATGTGCCAAACACAGCATCTGATCAATTACTCGACTAAAAACAAACAGAAGTAAATATCGGAAGAAAGCAAAATCCGGCTGTTGAAGCTCGACAATTCCCGGAACGTGAATAGTAAAAAGATCAATAATTAGATCAACTGGTAACCAACTATTAATACATCAAATTGAATCACCGTTTTCATCCAATCCATTCGTACAATTTCATCGCCAATGTAGAATTGATTTAGAATTACTAATATTTAAAAAAGCATTGCATCAATCCGTCTTACAAATTTCAACTCTTCCCTCAGCTACTCGACTAAACTTTTCTAAAACATCAAATGAATTTCTTTATGATGCTCACATCCCTAACTTATCTCGTCTACGATTTAGAAATTTCCTTTTAATGATATAAATAAAAACTGAATAAAAAAACAACTGAAGAATGTGCCTTGAGTATAGAATGATTGAGTTCAACTTTGAATAGATGAATAAGATTGACACCATCCAGAAATAGAAGCAGTTGAAATTACCAAATACTAACACGACGTACACAAAAGAAACAAAATATTGGATTTTCGCAGATATAAATGATACTGAGAAAAGAAACAAAGAAATAAATAAACATAATGGTTACTGGACTGTATCGGGAATTGGCTGAATTGGGCACATTCCAGAAGGAGAATTGAAAATATGAAATTTGTTGACAACTTGTAATTTAAAAAAACAATAACAGTGAAATAAAGCGCAGTGTGCCAGTCTTTTTGATAGTTGGCATGGCTGACCGATCGACGAATATTGGCTACTTGCAGCATGAACCTGAGCCCGTTCCTTGACTTGTGTTTTCTTGTCCAATATCTACGCCTTCACGGCCACGCCCAGAGGGTCCGCCACCACTTCCATCTCCTTTTGGTAATTTCTTGGCTGCAATTCGTCCAAACTATTTCATTGAAACAATCGTCGAATCTCACTGATTTGAAATCCACGCTTCACAAATGACAACGAACGTATCGCAGCGTGGATTAGTGTTTCTAAGCCACAACCGTTGCAACATACAAATCAAGTGTTACGATACAGCGCACGAATGACTTACTCAATGATCGACTTAATCAATTCATAAACAACAAAACAAACCAATTGCCAAAAAGATATCATTGACATTCATTGCAGTTTTCGCTGACGTTTCCATGAACAGAAGGGCATTATCCTCCGCGTATGCTTGTGCTTCCTTTAACATTTTTCGTTTAAATCAATACATGAATCTTATGCAATATCATGAATCTTACATTTTTCAATACAATACCACTTTACTTTTAAGAGAATGATTTGATTTTGAATCATAAAACGCCTTGACTTTTGAATACCTTATATTATAATAGTTATATAAATGAACCACACTCAGACTGTTCATAAAACAATGAACCTCATATTCAACTACTCGTTTATTGGCTAGGTCGGCTTTATTGCCTGATAACGCAATCACAATATTCGGACTGGCTTGTCGTTGTAACTCCTTCACCCAATTTTTCGCTTTTGCAAACGATTCCTTGAAGAATTAAAATTCATTAATCTCACGCAAACTTATTCTGAAGAATTAAAATTCATTAATCTCACGCAAACTTATTCTGATTATCAATTTGGAGCAGAAAATTAGTTTTTTAATTCAGGAAACTGCTGCTGGTTGCCCTGATCAGCAGCGAATCACCATTGTATACAATACGAAGAGACGTCAATACAACAAGAATATCATTTCGAAACAAAAACATTTATACTCCCACCAAACGACTACTATTACCGTTGCAATTAAAGATCGTCACACGACTAATTACTTGGGACGTGACAAAACAGACTTATTCCATGAATAATGAACGAACGGTAATAAAACCTGATTGGTGATGTCATAAACAACTATAGCTGCTTGTGCACCTCGATAATACATCGGCGCTAATGAATGATATCTGGAAAAGAAAATTATTTCATGTGGAAGCAAACACTGACAACAAATCGATCAGGCTATAAATATTTGATAGTAGTGCAGGTCATTCGAAACTGAATGTAACATCACACAATTTAAACTTGAGTTGTATCATATACTGCTGATTTCTGTAACATTTCAAATATTTAATATTAATCAATACAGTGTGTGTTATATCGTATCTTTTTTCTACAAAACAGATTCAGTTTAATTTTTGTAGAGATAACTCCTGACTGTTCGACTCTACAAAATAACAAGTATCACAACGTAATGTTCTCAAGTCGATAGGAAAAACTGATGTGAAAAACGAACAGATAAAGATTGAAAGATGAACCAATGAGTCAACCTTTCTTGCCCAGCTGTATCCCAGATTTCGAACTTAACTGTTGTTTCGTCCAAACAAACTGTTTGCGTAAGGAATGCAGCACCAATAGTTGATTCTTGATATTCATGAAATTGTCCCTTCACAAATCTGAGCACTAATGATGATTTACCTAAATTATCACTTAAAAGCAATTACATTCCATTAATCAACTGCCAAAGAGAGTGATTATATGCTACAGAATTAATCTAATATGGAACACCGGTGTTGCTAATCAATTCATGATTCTGATTGAAGGACCAAATTAAATGTGGTGAATGAGTAATTTCATTAAGACCCTTTTTGAAAACCATTGAAACAATTATTTTAAAGAATCTCAAAGAGTCTGCTGAGCAGAACTTTCATAACGATTGAACAAACAAATATTTAATCACTACTTCATAGTGAAGGAAGTGAAACAGGTTTTGCATGAGCAATAAATAAGCAAAAATTAGCAACAGTTTATTTGTTGCTAACACACCGATAAAATGAAATTGTTATCGCTCAGAACCATATTCATTTACGATACACAAAAACGATGATATTAATAATAATAATAATAACAATAATAATAATAATAATAATAAATTACCAACTGCACTTTCACCGAGTAAAACCAACTTAAATTGACATGTCTTACTAGGAGCGCCTCCATTACCGGTCCGAGCTGTGCTCCGCGACGCCATTAAAAGAACTGCTTAAAAAATTAAATCAAGAAATTCGTTGTTCATCATTATTAAATGCTCGCGCTATCAAAACTTAAAATGCAAGACTAATAATGATCAATAAATTGAAACGTGTTGATACTACATAGGGCAATCAATATTCGATCACCATTACATGTTTGATCGCATGCCATAGATAAAGACCCATAGATAAAGACAGTATATTAATACTAACGATAAAGTTTGCGTCGTTTTGTTTATTAATTCAACATCAACAAATCATATCAACCACTATTGTTTCATTGTGACCATCACAATTTACACTCAATAAATCCGACCGTTTCATATTACTACTTCTACGTACTTCCCTCATCTTTTCGTTTTTTCTGCTTCCATTTCTTTATAACAGAACATGACAATGCCGAATTTATCTCGTTAAAAATCAACACGACGTGCTTCCTATCAACTTGCTGGGAAATACCATATTGTCAAAATTGTACAATGAATACCACTTCCGAGCAATTATAACTTAGATAAACAATAATATTTTTACCACCATATCAACTGTGATAAATGAAAGTTGCAAGGAAATGTTCATTAAAAACCACAAATATACTCGCCAAACAAATAGTGAGGAAAATGTGCTTTATGTTTGTTTGGATATATGTTTAAAAGCATACTTCATACCAAGAAATGTTTAAACGGGTAATGAAACAGCAAGCGTATAAGACTATGAGAGTATCGTACGCGAATCACTGCAAAAAAACATCACTTATCACTTAACATTTTCAAGCACAACCTGTCATAATTCTCTCAATCAAACAAACATTTTCCAATCAAGTAAGGGCGAACCGATATTGCAGCTGATTTTTTAGCTCCTTTTTCACTATGAAAATCATTGAGGAGCATGAATCAGTCAAAATAAAATAAATAGATGAAACGTAATCAAAAAAAAGAAAATGAATGAACGTTACTGCCAAACACTAGAATGTCATAATAACTGTACAGAATCTGATCTGAAACAACAAACCGTTGCAGTGGAATAACTGTGAGTCAATCCACTACGCAACGAGTAATTCCGCATATATTCACACATAAGGAAATAACTAAATTCAGATTCCAGCTCGAGTACGACATCTTTTCATTGTTAATTCATGAATCTGGCTTCGCATCGACTTCACAGCATGCACTTAACATCAAATGCCATTAATATTCACACACCGAAGAAAACATTCACAATATTTACCGAGTGCCGACCTTGAACTAAAGATTTAAACAGGCTTCGAACAACAGTATAAAAAGACGAGACTTTTACTGATAATGGGACGCCACTGCGCGCATGCGCTTAGATTACAGCTTTTCCCCACGTGTAGCTATGCAATTCGAATCAGATCAAGAGTATGCTTAAGCTTACACTTACGCTTGGCCCAGTGATGAGGCTAACACATAGGCTTCGACTTGTGTAAAGCGTATGAGTACATGAGCATTTGTGATGGCGCAGTGGTGCCCGTTATCAGCAAAAGTACCAAAAAGACTTTTAAAAAGCTCCTCACTGAGTAAAATAATACAAACATGAAACAAATTTCGGCACTTTGATGACAAAAGTAGTCTATAAAACTTAAACTAATATTTAAAAGTCACTGAGCTGCATGCTGGATACCGAACAGCCGGACTTGCTGGATACCGAACAGTCATACAACAGCAAATGCGATGTACAACACACATAACTGAAGCAACGGAAGGTTTGTTCAGAGTAGGTATTTCTGAGAGAGAATCCACAGGAACCAACAGAAGTGAAAGCATCTTCATATTCATATGGACATGGCTCATTATACGAAATATCGGTGAATCGTATCATGGAATGAGGTACATTTACGGTAACATGACAATGAAACTTCCAATTAAGAGATGAGATAACTGTGATAAATCAGTTAAAGTCACAAATACCGCAATACAACGAAATAAAATTAGCGGCACAACGAATTAAAACTTAGTCATAACATCAAAAACACCAACTAGCACCTCGCGCACAACATAGCACCATTACCGGTCTGCCGTCTTGTCATTCTCACTTACCGTACATCGTTCATGAACATCTCATTCACTTTTCGAATTGCCCGAATTTTCGGAACTATTTTCGCTTGGATCGAACCTGTTCGGATTCTACGATAACTGATAATCGCACGATTTTATTTAGGTACAAACTCTACATACTTGTTTTCCTCCAACCCAAAAACTTGAGCTTAAGTTCATTCTGCTTATGGTACAGATAAGGATGTCAAGAAAGGAAGAATGTGATTACCTGGATTGGCCAGGCTATCAAAGGTTTATATCGTTGTTGGCCACAATGCTGGCGTTTCCGTGCGCATTGTTTTAGCCTCAATTTACGCCACCCCGCTGGCTAGGCGAGCAAGCCAACCGAACACAAACGAGTAAATAATTAGTCGCCGTGAATACTTTGCATAATTAAACGCAGTCAAATACCAATTCAATAAATAATCATTACTCTAATAAAATAAATATTCCGCCGATCGCTCACTGCGATTGATGAAACAACCACTCGATATCCAAGTAATAATTAATAATACCAATAATGTGATACTGTCGATAAAAGAGGCATAAAAACTCGTCACAAGTTGTAATTGCTGATTGAATAAACAAACAAACAATGGTGCAGGGAAAGAAATAGCCGAATATGTTGGGCTTAAAGACGACTGTTACTGAAATGAATTTTAGTGACTGTCCCCTGATAAACCTATAATCAACTAAATATTGAATCCATAATTTTTACTACAGAATGATTCACGCCGAATGATATCGGTCGAAATAGCTTAGAATGAATTTACCGTTAATCAAAATCCACGCTTAGAATCCGTTCTACTTAGTACGAAACAAGTAGCACTAGGAATAATGCAACAAGTCTGCTCTAATAAATTTATGTAATACTGAAATGAAGAGGCTTGTGAGGTACGAAAAACATGAAAATTAGATAAATGAATGCAAATATCACCATTGATGAGATGATAATGACTTAAGTAAGGCAGTGACTGAACAAACTGAAGGTAAATTTTAAAAATGTGCTCCATAAGCTAATCAACCGTAACCAAAAAGATGGGAGCGAAAAAAATCTCCGGAGCCAAAAAATCTTCGAGCTTCATTTTGTTCCGTCAAAAAGAAATCATAGCAACATTCAGCAGCCAGAACAAAGACATGCAGAACAGATTTTTCCCGCAGCTGGAGCGGAGTAAAGTAAACTCTGCAGCTGAACCCGAGAATTTAAAATGCGAAACAGGAGATGGAGTTAGGGCCGATATCAGACAATTTAGATCCAGAGCTGGAATCGGAGCCGAAATTCCAAAAATGGGGAACTGAAGCCCGAGTTGAAGTTCTGAAATATACGGGGCTGGAGCCAGTTCCGGAGACAGAATTTTTAAAAAGTGCGAAGGTAGAGCTGGAGTTGAAACCGATATTCTAGAACTGTGGGACCGAAGCCGGAGCTGAGTCAATTTTTCCAAATTTGAACATCACTGCTAATGAAGAATCATCTACGAGGAAACAGCGAACATACGTTATGTGTACATGTTAAGAAACAAAGAGGTAATATGGAATGTGAATTGTGCAATTTGAATAAAACTCAAAAAAAAAGGAATATTTGAGAGTCAAATCGAAACTTATGAATGAATGGAATATAATTTGATGTATTTTGTTATCTTTTCCCTCTGAAAGTGTTGAAATTATTATGAATATAAGTGATGTGAAACAGATTATTAATATTTCATTGATAAACAGCTGTTTAGGAATAAACCTTTTCCACTACTTATCATATCAAAAAACTGATAGCAGTTATAGATCTCTTTCATTTGCCATCTCGTCCTTCGTAACCGAAATGAAGAGTTTCAATGGTCTGCTAGGAAAGGAGTTTTCATGTTAAAATTTCAATTGCATTTCCTGTACGCCACATGCACATAGTGATAATGCATCCACTTTCATCAGCCGCTCTCCACAACAATAAAATCATATCAACACAAACAATTGTCGCTCTGCATGATTCAATTACATCACAGTACTCACCAACACAAAAACAAAACCCATTCTCGACGTCTAGTGGACTGCGATCTGAGTAAGTTTCATATATGTCAAGCAGAACTGCTTGAGCTGCGTCATATGCGTTTTCGACACCTCGGGTTAAATCGGATTTTTGATCTTCTTCACAACTGCGACAACGGTTTCATGGCTGATTTACCGATTTCTGGCATCCGTCGTCTTCGAGGTCCGCTCATTCTGCGTAAAATTTGCAGTACAACTATGAGTTGTTGTTTTGTCTTGAACATTCTCTCCATAAACGTTTTTCTTGCACTGTTGATGTGCTTATGCAAATATATGCTCTCTTGCAGAACTATGCTATCTTTCATCAAATTTTAATTGAAAACTTCAATTATTCTTATTAAACATCCAAATTTTCAGTGAAGACTATATCTCCCTTAACCTTTCCAAACCAACAGCAGAATAGACTGCACTAAGCCCGGAACTAAGCTGCACTCTGACCTTGGAGCGAAACTCAGTCCTGAGGCAAGCCTTAGTGTCTAATCCCGGGGTCAGACTCAGTGTCGAGGCAAACCTTAGCGTTTAATCCTGGAGTGAGTTTGGCCTTGAGAGAACCTTCAATGTAAACGCGAGATGAGCTCAACCCTGAGATCGCTGCGAAAGTTTTGGTTCAGCCAACTTGGTCTCTATCGAAACGAAGTATACCATTTAGTAGCAACACACGACAAAATAAATGCTCGTACACGCGACTTTGCAGCTGCAGCAAAAATAATTGTGCACATTTTTTGTGAAAATACCATAGCTGCATTTGTTAGAAGCATTTGTATTTGACTGGCATAGTATTATACACTTTTGAGTTTCGATTTGAAAAAAACTGGTAATAATGAATCAGCGATTTAATTAATAATATATGAATAAATTTTATTGCAAGTTATCCACGATAATAATATAATAAGACAGTAATATCGATAGAAAATTTACGACGTTAACATGATAAATTCAACAAACAATACATATATATATCACATCATCTATTTTATCTCTTCAGATACTATGAATAGCTTCAATAAGATCATTATTAGCAACATATGTTCACTAATAACTGCACCAGCTCACCAAATAACTGCACCGCTTTTCAATCAAACAAGCTTTAATTCTGAATCAATCACTGGTCATAATGACTAAATAAGGCTAAACGATAAGCATAGTTGCCATGATAAAAGCGATTCAATCCTGATATTAATTGGCATCAATTTATGATAATTATTCGCTACAATCGAATAATAGTAATATTAACAATATTATCATTATTATTATAACGATAATAATAGTAACGGTAATTATAAATTGCTAAAATTTTCAATTGCACTCTTCATTACAAACAAAACTAACGCACGTAAATTATTCTGTGTTTATACAACTATAAAGGATAAAGACGAAGTTTGTAAATACAATGCGCAACCGTATACAGCAACAATATTGAAAATAGCTGAAGAATAAAATAAATAATAATTGGTGTAATATTAAGATAAACTCAATCTCATGTTAATATTCAATATATCTAGCGAATAATGAACTTCATTCCAAGCAAATTAACAATGCAATTTTTAAAAAATATGTATACATATGTATATCAACAACTTGATGAATTCTATAGGAAATATATACATACATGTATATAATATTCATTTGAACTTGAAAAAAGCAAACAAAAAGATCAACAAAATCTCTATTACTTATATTCGTAAAGGCCTCGTTGTATTGCTATATTCGGTAAAACGAAACTACGCTTCGGTAATGGCAGTGATTAACGACGACAATAACAGCACTTACAATGATAATAATAATGGTAATAATAAAATAAATATAATAATAACAATAATGATAGTAAACAAAGTGATAATGATAACAATAATAATGCACTCATCACGGATAAAGAAATTGATCGATTCAATTTTGTTTTTGCTTTTTTCGAGTATTACAAGTGTGAAGGACTTTCGGGGTGAAGATTTGAAGATAGATAGTGTTAATGTTGGGCGTTTCGTAGGGATAGAATGAATGGAGGATGTTGAACGCGTCAATGCTTGAGTGATACTCGTCTGTTAAGGTAGATGATCAGTGTCAACAGTGCTAATATGATGGTTGCAAATAATGATGCACCAACGGCAACAAACGTTGTTGATATACAATCCATACTGTTCAATGACTGCCTCACTTTACGCAATTGAGATTCATATCGAGAGTCATCGCTTGGTAAGCCGAAATCTTCAATTCATTATTATTGTAAGTCGATTTATAATATCATGCGCTCATTAATTTATGGGTGGAATTTTAGAACGATTAAATGAGAACGAATTTATCACGAAAGATAACACGTTGGTTCAATATTAGTTACTTCATTATTGGTTTGTTCAATAATTGTGTTGTTAAAACACATATCCAAGACTGCTAATTCAATAGTTGGGTTGGGTGTACAATAAAAATATTAAGGCATTTATAAACTCTTATCAAAAATAATTGTTTCACTTATAAAACAGATGATAAGCCTAAAAACATGAAACAATTTTAATGGCAAAACGCCGTCAGCACACCACAATAGGATATTTTTGGAGATGGAATATTAGGGTGTAACTGCAAAGCACGAATGCATAACAGTGCGGATAAAAATCATAACAATTGCTTTTTCATATGACTTATTAGCACTTCTTCTATAATATTAACGAAAGCAATCGATGTACAATAAAATCGAGCTCAAAACTTGTATCAATCGTAAATGTTCGCAGATATGACTCTGTGATGATGGTTCGTGTCGAAGTCACATTAGCAACGACACTTCATGTTTTCGATTCTGGTAGAGTAAGAGATAAACTGAAAACTGAACCTATCTGCGGATCAAGAACATCAAGTTGCTGTGCCCTAACATCGACTTCGCTCGTGCCTTCATCACTAATTTCAGATAACAGTATTGATCTTCGCCTCTTTAACGCACGTTTTTTTGAGCTAAGATCTCTGCATTGTGGTCGCTGAAAAGAAATAAAGAAGCAAAAACGAGTTTCGTGAAACGTGAACGAATTCAACATCATCAAGCGGAATTTTCAACTGACTATTTTTACGGTCGTTATTGTTATTACTTTTATTACTATTTATTGCTATAAGTATTATTCTGAATCGTCATTAATTAACTTCTATTCATAAATGAAAATAGCATATTAGTGACATGATGAACATACTGGGCATTCACCGTCGCGAATATCAAGTCTTATTGAGCATTGAAAGTTGACAACAACACGATCAGCAAATTTGAAGGCATGCGCCTCTTTTTGAGCTTGTAGCTCTCCTGGTCCGTATTCGAGATTATCCAACAAATAACGATCGATCGCACATCTGAAGACAATTTAAAAAACCAACACAGCAAATCTTCTTTGCGCTACCAGCCACAAATGACATTAATCGAATACCACATTATTTTTTGCTTCGAATATACGATTCATGAAGCAGGTAAGCACCTATGGCATTACAAACGAAAATAACTGAGCACTTACCCGGTATCATCAAGAATCACGAACTGCGTACCAGAACCATCTTCAACGAAACACGAATGAACTGTCATACACCATAAACCTAAAAATCATTTTACCGGCTCTAAAAAGCCGACTAAAATATTGACGATAATTGCAAGTTTAAAAAGTATTCATTGCTATGGGCATTTAACAAAAATCGCAGTCAAAAATTATTATTATTATTATTATTGTCATTAGTATTATTACTATTCAAGCCTAAATCATTCAGTAAATGGTATCATTTTGCTGACGCAATGATATCGGTGAATAATTACTTGATTATTACAACAAAAAACAATAAAATGTAGATTGAAATGCAAACGAATATTCAATCAAACTTGGGGCAGTTGAGTCACAAGTCCATTTGTGCAATAATTTATTGCCAACAGATACAACTGACAACGGCTCCATTGTTAATGGATCAACAACCTCATAGCGACATCTTGGCATTTCAGCGATCTCAGTGAATGGTTCGAGTGAGTGCATTGATACTGTCAATGGATATGTTACTGTCTTATCTGCTTCCATATAGAAACAGCTTATCTCGTAACCCTTAATTATGATAACAGCATTATGGCACTAATCTAAGTGATATACAGGGCTTTATATAGCATTCACTTTGGAACATAATGCTCATAATCAAAATTGCAATCTCTCATTGCTTGACCATAACGCTAAATAAGTGAACAATACAAACTGATGACAATTAAGTAAACAAACGAGTTTTACCCTATCAACTTTCGTGATGAATTCCTCATGAAATGATATCATTACTTTAACATTCGCAAATAATCCGGGAGGATTTGTCTGAAAATTTGTGTTAAAACAACTTATTTATGGAACCAATCACTTAACTATGTTAAAACTTGAATATGCGAAAACGTCGAAAAACTTACTCATTTCCTTTTTAACGTAATTTTTGTAAAATTAAACTTTCGAACATCTCTCAAAATTGAGAAGCTTGAGCTCAGCTTTAACCTTTTATGAATGTTAATTTGTCAGCACTAATTCTAACTTTAAGTTCAATGCATAAACAAACATGTGTGTTTGTATCGGTTAAGTGCCATAATAGAAATATTTTCAGTTGAACAATCATGCGAGAGATCAAAAGAAATGTTTGTTGTGCGGTGGCGACTATTGATAAAATTTAAGGGAGGATGACGATCATTTTGCCGATTGAACAAATCATGATAATGATGATGCATTTGCATTCATCTCAATGTTTGCCATTCATAATTCAATGTGTGTGTTTCTCTAATAAGGATGAAGAGAAAATGATGAATTTATGAGAGGAACGAATAAATGATTAATAAGCTTTATATCATAATGATGTGTTTTGTTTTGATTAATTCATCTTATCTTATTGCATTCCTCATTTCAGGTTCTATCCTATATTACTAATAATTTATTCATTATCAGCTATCTACAACAACAAATAAATTCTAGTTTCATCGAATCTTGCTCGATCCATTCGTTCATCTAGTCAAAAAGGAAGGAAGCAAGATCATAAAAACAGAAAAAAAAGGAATCATTCGGACATTATCGAGACCACTGCTCCGATATTTTAAAAAATAAGAACCGGTTTGAAATTTATTCATTTCTAAACAACAATTTTTTGATTCGTTTCTCAAAATTTCCCTACTCAATCCATAATTTTCTACAAGAAAATCCTCTCGGATGAAAAGGTTCTAAAAACCGATAACGACTCATAGCCGATACACAGCTGACAACACTGAGAGGAACATCTCAAAATTTCACACACAAGAAATTACACTTGTGAAGCGAGTTCAGGTTTGACTTTGCATTTCGTCCTGTATCCCTATTTTCACAAAAAAATAATCTGAAGTTTAAACTGAAATTGAGCCATATTATACATTCACTGAAACGATTTCATTTTTCGCCAAACTTTCGAGAGCTACCTTACAGATACAAGAAGTTCATACTTCACGAGCAAAATTACAATATAAAACCAACTTAATTATACCTCAAGTCCCTCAATACAAATTCACTGGAGGTTTGGTCTTTACTTGCCTATATTCACTTTTAAGTTAAATGTTCATTCTTAAGTTAAAAGTTTTATACCTCAAATAATTGTTCTTCACTACCTCGTTAATCAATTAACAACTTCACACCTTCTCAACTCTCCTTTTTCTAGAAAACTGTGAACTATAGCGATAGATAGTGCGATTTTCTTTTCGGAAATTCTTAGCTATCCTATGAAGCGGTTAATGGTATTCATTGAGAGAATATGGAGAAAACGAATATGTTCGCTTGAAAACAACTCATTTTAATGAGGTAGTCGATGCACTTATTTATTATAAAAGAAAACACTGCAGCTGAAACGTCTCGGGAAAGCCGAACTGAAACGATGCTCAAAATATGCAGACTGTAAATTGGAAGCAATATGTTCATCAATGAAAAAATAGAAATGAATCCGAAATTGAATTGCTAAGAAATACCCAAAAGTAAATTTTTGATGCTAGTTGAGAAATCGAATGAGTGTATAAACGAATAAACCTACAGATCTAGTGATAACAACCCCACACCGATCTTTCTTAATTGAAATAGACGTGGTCCTTCGTCCTGTATCCCTTGAAACACACTCCTCTTCATTTGAATGGCCTACAACATAAACCCGTCCTTGGAAAACACTCTCGGTTAAGAAAACTACATCAATTTGATCTTCACCACATTCCACCTCTGCTTGACCTGAAATAAACTCGAATTTTGCTTGAATTATTGTTCACTTCTGAAATCAATAATAATGCTCATAACTTTGAACCATCGCATTCATTCAACTAGAAATCTTTTTTAACATTTCAGCGCAAACCGAACATTTTTTACAGGCGAAATTGATCGCATCAAATTAAAAAATAAGAACACTTTTCTAACATTTTGAAGATTTAGAATTAAAATTCGAATGGCATAAAATAGTGTCATTCTCATCGTTTCACTCATTACTTTTTGGTGACAATTTCATTTTGCATGAGGAGAAATTGAGAATTTATATAAATGGAGGAGAAATGCGAATATGAGTTTTTAAAAATGCAAATAAATTTGAATTTTTCAAAAAGAATCTATAATGAATAATAGTAAACAAATGTCATCAACCGATTGATTGCACATGAACTGAGAAAACATTGCTTAAAAATACCGTAAAATATTCAATATAATATTTTTTTGACTTCTAAAAATTTAGAATCAAAAATGAAAAATTTGTTGTTATAAGTTACATTCACAAGTAATACGATGTGCCAATAAATCGGTAATTGATTTGCGATGGTGACGAAACGATTCTATAATAATTCAGCACTCTTTAAAATGAAGATGATATGAGCTCTATAAGATATGTAAGATGGATTTACTTTTTTTTTTTTTGAAGAGTGCGAGGGCTAACATTGAGCAGTGAGATTTTATTAGAAAATGTGCATGATGTTACTTGCAAGTCTAATCTTCTATGAAAGAATCAAGAAAGGTTGCTAACAAATTGAAAATCTGAAATTTCCATCACAGATTGGTTGAGTGCTAATGTGCCAGATTCAAGCACAATACCAAACGCATACCAAATATTCAGTTTAACGTTGAAGTTCACTTGTAAATTTGCGATGTTCTTATCATTACTGTTTTTAGTATGATTACCTATCATATGCATGTTATTATCACGACTGTATTTAATAGATATTTTCGCCTTTATACCACCTAATAAATTCATTGCAAGCAAACGGTCGAAATCATATCGCGCGTGATATTATAAACAATTATTTCTGCTACCAACAAAATCTGTTTAATTATTTACAATTATTCAGACCCGAAAAGCGTTTCGAAATCCACCATATTTCATGACAGTTCTTAAACAGAACCAATATTTTTTGATTTTTATAACAAATTTCAAGATTTTGCTCTTTTGCTCGAAAAAAAGCAGCATGAGGTTGCACAATGGTGGTGCTGGTTCAGTAAGTTATTTTATTTAGTATTGATAAGGATACCAATGAAATGAGATCAATAAAATTAATAATAACACACAAAATATCACAACCAAAAATCAAGATCTAATAAAATAAATAAAGTAAAAAAAAAGAATGACGATTAAATGATGGTGGTAATAGTAAAAGTAAATGACCGACCTATTTGTGAATTCGGTATGGGAATCGAAGTAGAAGGAGGTGTGAAGAAGAGAAGTGTGAAGATGAGCATAACACGTTGGATCATCACGACTCTCACTGATGCGCTTTGCAAAGACGGCAGCACTCTTGTAGTGTGCGATGTTCCGTTTGTTGAACGACGGAACTCTGAATTGCCTGAGGGCTGTAACTAAGAGTGAATCTAATTCAGTCATTTTCATACGATCGGCATTGGCCCGGATCTGAGATCTTCTTCTTATCTCACTGCATTCATATATTCTCTATGCATCTTTTTATCCTTAAAAATAAATGCATACGCAATCAACCACTAAACAATCAACTAACATTCTCATTTAAACCAAATCAATGTCATCGCCAACTTTTGTTTTTTTTTTTTTTTTTAGAAAATTCTTGTCCACTGTCTCGCAATATTGATTTATATCTGCAATACAAATATTTCTTTTCATGATTAATTTACACTTCAATCCATACCATTCATCCTTCAATTTAAAACAACCTTTTATGACCTCCAAAAAATTTACAAATTATTACGTGAATCACAAAACTATTCGAAACATGAACTATTTCATTCAAGCGCCTCGAACGAAAACAATGTTTTTATGAACACATTTTGTTAAGTGAAAATCGGATCAATGAAAAAGCAACCTCAATCATTCATTCAGTGATACAATATTGTTAATCATAAATTGTATTCACAAACCTTTCGATGCACGTGTTTCCTTCGAAGGATGACTTAGCTGCGGGCCAGTTAAATTCAGTTGATTGTAACACTGTGACAGAACATGGTGCAGAAATTTTGAACCATCTCAATTAGAAATAGATTATTTGATCATGGCAAAATCAATCCTCCCATCGGAGTGATAAACAAAAAACTTAAAAGCTTTGTTTCTCATGACTTATAAAATCAAAATAAACATTTATTCACTTTGAGCTTCATGATATCGCTTGCGAAACAAGGAAATCGTAATTCATTTGCACATATGTAACGTCGCATGAATAGTTTTAACAAAATAGTAAGAAGTTATACAGATGAACAGTTTCAATATGAAATAATTAATTTGAAGTTCAAAGTTACTGAATGCTTTCACGGATCCATTGAAAGAACGCATATATCGCACCAATGAATGACAAAAATGAACTTCTAACCGATCCGTTTTTCGTTCAAAACTGTAAATTCGTGCAAAAGTTTCGCTGAAGCAACAAAGAACTTCGGTCTTTCACTATCTCAACACTCACATCGTCATCCCCTAAACAACAGTCACAGTTCACACTCATTCTTGCACTCTCATCCTCCATTTCACCTTTGCGCGAAAATTTTCTCTTTTTTTCGCACTAAATAAAACCGCAAGCAAGAATGTAAAATAATTCGAATAGATACGCTCAAAATTCGACGAATCAATCGTCAAATACTAAGTATTTCATCGGAATTCTTCGTCTCAAAACTGAGCATTCAATCAAATTGTTCCTAAACGCACAATCGAAGCTTTCACATGAAAACATTCAGTTCAGAAAAGATTAAACAAACAATCATTTATGTTGTGTGCTTCAATCCTTATGTACCATTTGAATTAGAAGTAGATTGCTCGGTTATTCTTTCGCGCAGCAAAATCATTTCTTCAATCATTCCAAAACTTCTTTTTGAATTCATTGAGCAAATGTAGGAACGAATTCTGTCGTTAGTGAATCAATTCAAAAAATATCTTATTCAAGAGAATCCTGAGTAGAAATAAAAGATTTATTTAGGTGACTGAGAAATACTTGCTAAAAGACCCCAAATTTTGTACTGATTGCTAATTTTGTGAACAATTTTCATCAGTAAGAACAAACGAATCATATAGTACATTTTTTATACAGCCACATGGAAATTCAGTTATATAAGCGAACAAAACCAGTGAATCAATAATCAATTCCTAATTGATTTTCCCTTGCTTTGTTTGATTTATTCAGCTTGGAATTATAGATGAGTGCTAGAATTGCATTGCGTTGTGAGTTATGTGTTGAAGGAATTTCAAATAAATATTTTATTCAAATAAATATTTTTTATGGTGGAATTCGTAGCATTGGAACTAGAGATAGTGATTGGATGGGTATGCATAAATGGATGCACTTTACTGATCATTATTTCTGCTTAGTAGAGAACAGCTATGCGTGAATTTGAAATGGAAAGAATATAGTGAGAACGGAACGGAAACGACGAAAAAAAAAGAGGAGAAAAACGGAGTAGCAACTATAAAAAGGTCATTATGTGAGAGTGGGATCAAATATGGAAAATTTGCTGAAGGGAGAAAGGGGGTGAAGGGAGAAAAGTGAACGGGATTTTTCGTTGTTTCGATAGATTGTCAGGCTTTGATATAGTGATAAACTGGGATCTATAGAATAAAGTAGTGAGGAGTTTAGACGAATAGATCAGTGGATATGAGAGAGAGAATGAATGACACAATCGGGGTCGAATTCGTGAGATATTATAAATGTTTGATTGAAAAATGTTTAATTTAAATTGATTCCATTCGCTGATCTTGGTCATCTGAAAAATGAATTATCGATGAATGTTAATTTCACTTTCACACCGAGTTCACTCATAATTATCACTGCAACCAAATTAATTAAATGAAGAGACTTTATTTTATTCGATAAAATCTCGAGACATTTCAAAAATTATTACATCTTTTGTTTATTATTTGACCATCTAACGAGAATATGAGAACCACCTTACGAGCTTGCATCATTCCCATTTACTTTTAGTTTCAGTATAAATTATTCTGCATGAACTCATTAGCATAATACAGTTTATTAAATTATCATATTCATTTCCACGTTACGGTTATCAATAAAGTGATTGATTGAATGATGCCGGATTGTAGCACTCTTCCACAAATTTTAACCTTCGGTACGCAAGCTAACCAATTTGCTGTCCAAGTTCTCCGAATTTGAATCTGCAGTCGAATTTTCGCTACTGCCACCAATTTATTTTCGAAAAACAATTGAATTCACTGAAACAGCAATCGAGTAGCTACTGAATGCAAATTTATTAATGATTTTCCTCACAATAATCGCGTGAAACGACATTCATTTTCGGATAGTATGCATCGAACTGCTCTCCTCCCTTCCTAAAAAAAACCTATCGGTCACTGCGTGACTTCTACTCTTGAACAGTGCCATGACTGGAAAGAATCACCTTTCTCCAAGGTATTTGCAAGCTATGCGAATTATGCTACTACTTTTCTCACAACAGGAACATTCGTCTATCTCTGCTAGTTATCAATCACATTTTATAAGTTAAGGCTTTGTTTACACTTGTTTGCACTTTTTATGCTAATGGCATTTGCATTTATTACACTTCATCATATATTGTTCTGCAATCTGTCTTATCTCATAGTCTTTGCCTCAAAATGATGTAACCGACAGAACATTATTTTTGAAATGTGCACCTCATAAATATTATCCTGCACTTAACGATGCTACTTCGTTAGTCTCAATCCATGTTTGATTCCTGTCACAACTTAATAACACCATCGCTGAATCATAATATCACTTTCATCATCATCATCACAACCGTAAAACGAACAACCCATTCAAAATGACCTATCGTCTATTCTATTGACCCAACATTGATATCTACATTTCTGAACACCATTCAAAAAATCATCTCATCAATTAATCAACCCCTAATTTTCAAAAAAAAAAGCGAAGCAAACCCTCGGCGAACATCAATCATTATCCGAACCAATCTGCTATGGTAACGAAACAAGATAACCTTAATCGACCCTTCATTCACATATCATATATGAAACTTTTTCTACACAAGATCCCTACTCAACCGGACAAAACCGAAAAATAAACGAAAAGAATGAGCAACGCCAAACGAATGAAAGGAAAGACTGCAAAAAACAAACTCTCATTTTCATCGACACAAAAAATCATCAGAAACAACAACCGATACGAATCAATGAACATACCAACGCACTCATCTGAACTAACCCTAACGTTCTGATCACTAACACCTTGGTTTGGGCTATATCATAACAATGTCGAATTTACTTGCAAATAACCAAATATAATCGGTAGCTTAAATTGAAACAAAACCATTTTGTCAATTCTAAATTTTGGCATAATTTTCGCTTGAAATCTGTCACTTTTTAAAAACGCCTTCAACATGCAATACTAAAAGCAAACAACAGAAATAACAAATTTATTATCATTATATTAACTTTAGCTTTTGACGAAAAAGCAATTGCTTATCAATAATTAAACAAATCAATAACCAACATTCAACTATTCAAGTTCCCTTGTATGGTAAATCAAACAATTAAAATAAATGAATGCGGAAGA